CAAAAACTTATTGGGACAACCAACAAAAGTCACCACAAAGCAAAATCAGTCAAGAATTTGGTAGAGGGTTTCCACTAACTTGACCAAACAAAAGTAAGTAAAAAGCCATAGCAACGAATTAAAATTCAAACTATAGCCCTTTTAATGATATACAATGATGGACCTAGTCTACTGTTATACAAAATGGAACAACAATTGCCATCATTAGGCTCGACCCTAAAGTATATATATCTAAGTTGAATTGTTCCTTGACAAGTCGGACAAACATGCTTAGGTATGTGTAACCCAATTCTTTTATGTACAAGTTTTACGCTATGTATAACCCAATTCTTAGATATCGCTAGATATACAAGTTTGTTCTTTGACATGGCTTAGTATTTATTGTTCTATATAAATGAAATAGGATGGTGTTTGTTGTCATAAATAGTTAGTTCACACTTGTGGACCATTTTAGACCTTACGAAATGAAGTGATCATCATAGGAAGAGAGATGTGTTCATACAAATGATAGAAGAATAGAGTTAATTAATAATACAAAACAGGTGGGACTTTATCCATATGCAACGTAATTTATTCTTTTCTATTGTTTATAGTACCTGTAGTAGAATTTCCTCTGACCAAAATTACTTGATGAACGAAAATGTATAATGTCCAGGAGGCAAAAGAATTCAAAAATAGGTCATTCTACAGTTAAATGATTTGGTATTTAACAGTTGAGGGATTCTTATTTAGTTTGTTCATCGTTAATTTTTGTAAGAAATAAACTGAATATAGAATTAAGTCAAATATTTGCAAAACGAAGTTATTTTCATATTTAGTTGTGCCACTTGTGATTGGTGGCTCGACACTTATTAATCATCATGCATTGCTTTTATTTGTAAAACAAAATTTCTTGTTGTTAAGTTGGAAGTTAATCAGTGACAAGATGCAAAAAGTAGAAGATGATACATTTTTGTTTCGAGGAAAATTTCAAAATATTGTAAGGGAGAGGAGAAATTTAGGGTTCATATTTAAAATACTTATATTGCCTCCACTTTCTTCATACTTTAGTTATCCATTACCTTTAACCACCTACAACTGTCTATCAACTATAATTAACTATTATATAATTTATCTCTCGACCATTTCTCACTCATATACTAGTCACCCAATGTGACTTGCCTTGAGAGAGAACTTTTAAAATTGACTTTTTCTTGTATGAACAAGTCCAAATCACCCATTTTCGTCCTATAAATAACAAAACATAATGGCAAAACACGAGGAATTTTTTTATGGTGGTTCTTCCTTTTAATGACTGGCATATCTATGATTCTTTTCTTCTAGATGAAGTAGCAGCATCGGTCCGTAGATACCTCTCACTTTTAGAAGGTTCGAGATTGTCAGGGAGCCCCTATAAACGTAAAGACTTGAATTTACTGAACTGACACTACTCTTTGTCGGCTCTTACCACTCGTCCCTCTTTTACGAGAATCCTGGGGTTTATGCGTTTTTCGAAAACAAAAATTGCTCGTCAAACTAAAGGAAGAGGAGTTCCCTTTAAAAAATAGTGGCCAATGCAATGTAGAACGTTATTGTCTATAGCAGAGTGTAGGGGAGATAATATAGTTTTGTCTCTAACTACCTAATTTAAAGACTAATTTTCAAACTCGAAACCACAATATATTCATTTTTAAAAATAAACATTGTCATCATTTTAGATTCGTTTTTGTCAAAATAGTGAAGATAAGTTAAAATTTCTAGAGTTCATCTCACTTCTTATTGGAAAATAATAAGGCAAAAAAAAAGAGGAAAAATTTTCTTATCTCAGGACTCACGAGGCAAGTGACAGAGAAAGTGAGAGATGGTGATGTTGACAGGATTTCAAGTTGGCTTGGTCCTCATTGTTTTGCTCATTTGTACTCGTGCAATGTGCATTCAAATATGGAGCAGTTAATTTCAGAGCTTTATATTTGCATATATAAATTAAAATATGTAAGATATTCGCAAATATTGTAAACGATATTGAATGTTCGAGTAAAACCTCTAAGTATTTTGTTGTTAATGAAAAGATCTAGTTCAAAATTTGACAATTTTGTTCAAGTCCGACTATGAAAAATTTATTTCTCATAAAATTAGTATGGATGACATGTTTTTAACTAGATTGAAGAGGAAATTAATCAAAATTTTGTAAGCTGATTCAAATACTTTTGACGGTAATACCAGAACAAAAATAAAACTGAGTATCAAGAAACAACAATTCATACCAAAGTTTTTCACTGAAAAAAAAGGTAATTACCCAAAAAAAGCATGGTAAATTTTGGAAAGGTACATATGTATAAGTAGGTAATCACTGTTAGTATTTACTAGAACTTTAAAACAACTAAATTTAGAGGCACTTATTGTGTTTTGAATTCATAAGCGCAAACACGAAACACCAAAGGTATCTTAGGGGAGATAATTATGAATTGTAAACCTAAATATTTGAAATTTGAAATTTGATATCTTGTTTGGGGATGAGATTATAAGGAATTTATCATTCGTAATTTTTTTAGTCTTGACGTGGAAGATATGCTTTTAATTAGATCGATAAAATAGTTAATTAAAATGCGTGTAAATTAACTTAAATATCTCTAAATATAATACAAAAATATTTTGAAAAAAAGAAAGCACATGAGAAACAAAGCAAACACTTTCTCTTGGTAGTTTACAAGACGCGTTTAATTTATTCGTCACTTTCTTCTTTTGTTATACTCTCTTAGAAGGACCATTGACCCCTTCCAACCTACATATAAATAAATGGATTAAGTATCTTTATTAATTAATGCAAGTTCTAAATAGGTTGGATAATATGATTCATTTTAATTAAACGGGATTAAGATGAGTTATAAATAGGTACCCATTAAGTTAAGTATTTATCTTTCTATTAAATAACACATGTAATAAAATCAAATAAATATACTAATATATCAAAAAATGCATATACACACTAGTACACCAAAAAACACACACACACTAATACATCAAGACTTGAACCATGACTCGTGTGACTTGACGCATGAATCATGGGTCGACCATGATTTGGCCCGTGACCCCATAACCTGCAGGTCAACTCATGATTTGACTCATGACCCATAGGTTGACCCACGATTCATTATGTGTGTGTATTTTGTTGTTTTATTAAATGTATTTTTTTTTTTGTTATTATATGTTTGTATTAGTATATGTGTATTTATTTTTGGTGTATTAGTGTGTGTGTTTTATTATATTAGTGTCTGTATTTGTTGTGTATTAGTGAGTGTGTTTTAGTGTATTAGTATATGGAAATGTTTGCATTTTGGTGTACTAATTAATTTGTGCGTTTATTTTAGTGTACTAGTATGTGTCTATTAAGAATTTTAATTATTTATGAGTTAATGAATTTAATCCAACTTGTTATAAATCTAACCCATTTAATAAATGAATAAAAAATAGATTGAATTTATTTTATTCAAACCAAAAATCTCTAAAATTACTTTTTGATTCATTAGTTCTATAAACATTTTTAATAAGTTCTTGAGTAACCCATGAAGAGTTATTATTTATTGGTTTATCCACACTTATAATTACTTATATAATTTTACTTTCCTTCGTCTACGTAAAATTTATAATACACCTAGATCTCATAATGATTTATGGATTAAACAATATTTTTATTATTTTTTTACCTTGGAATTGGCCCATACTTTGAATCTACTCGTTTATGGTACGGATCCATAATCCGAATCCTCCAAAGCAGGGGTAGCCCAACCAAAAACGGGGGCTTGTGCGAAAATATTCTGTGGACCCCAGTGCAACGAAATATAATAATATAGATAAGATAAAATAAATATTAAAATATTAATATATATTTATTTAAAAATTATTTTTCTTGTATTTGAGATATAAAATTATTAGTTTTGCATTCAATCTTTAGTTATAAAAAAATTATTAATTGAAGTTGAATTTGAAGATTAAAATACAATTAAATCAGTTGAAAAAATAAAGAAAGAGAATTGAAATTTATTAATACAACTAAATTATTTTTACAAATATGAATGTCAGTAAAAATTTTAAATAGTAAAAGTACTCAAATTCAATATGTTTTTCTGTCATTCTATATTTGTTTTTTGTGTATTTAAAAAAAGTTGAGTAAAAAACAAATCCAAATAAAAAAAAAAGGTCTCAAATTTAAGATAAGAAAAAATTATAATTTATGAAAATTTAGTGGGGATTAAAATGATCAAATGACGAGGGGCTGCAAAAGAAACTTTTTACACAAAAAAGAAGAGTAAGCAAAGTGACTATTGGTTGATCGTATTATGTCAGAATTTGTTTAATACATGCATGTTTTACTGATAATCATTTATATTTTAATAATTTGTGTCACATTTGGTTAAAGTCATATTTACTTACTAATTTGAGGGCCGAATAGTTTTATATATTTATCATCCAAATTTACTAAGATTAAGTTCAAACTCGTTAAAGTCATGACACTTTTTTATTTATTTTATAGATTGTACGTAAAATTTTAAGAGTAATTAAAAGTGGGAGCCTTAAAATTATTTTAATTAAATTTTTTAAACAAATTTGAGGTCGATAAATATTAATATTTTTTGGGACTCTAGGCTGCGGCCTCTGGCCTATGCCTAGGGCCAGCCCTCCTCCAAACCTTGCCTTGCTGAATGGATTTAACACAATTAAACTGTCAACATTTTCAAACCCCACCAACCCCTTCTCTCATCTTTAGCTCTTAACCCTTTGAAAATTTTTAAAAAAAAACACAGTAATGCTAGCACGCCAACGTTTTGGCATCTCAGCCATTAAATTACACCATATCAACGGGCCAGATTGATCTTCAACCAACCCCCATTTGGCCGTCCACCCCCACCTTTCCCACGCCAATGCCCACCTACGAAAATCAGTATGAACACTCAAAGCTACTCTCTATTTAAGCCACAACCCTTTTGCTCTGCACATTCAAAGTACAACCAGTGCATATGAACATGGACACTGCCATGGGAAATGGGCATTCAAACGGTGTGGACTCGGGTTTTTGCATTAAAGACCCGTTGAACTGGGGTGTGGCAGCTGAGTCAGTAAAGGGTAGCCACTTGGATGAGGGGAAGAAGATGGTGGCGGAGTTTCGGAAGCCAGTGGTGCTGCTTGGTGGCGAAACCTTGACGATATCGCAGGTGGCGGCGATTGCAGCCCGTGATAATGCTGTCACGGTGGAGCTCTCGGAGGCGGCGAAGGCAGGAGTTAAGGCAAGCAGTGACTGGGTTATGGAGAACATGAACAAGGGTACAGGCAGCTATGGTTTTGGTTCTACTTCTCATAGGAGGACCAAACAAGGTGGTGCTCTTCAGACGGAGCTCATTAGGTAACCACTTTCTCTCTCTCTCTCTCTCTCCATAAAATTATGAAAATTCCATCAAAATCAATTTTTTCATACGAAATTATCACATATAATGATGTGGAAATGAAAGTTTGTAAATAAAAAACAATACTTTTTTAATATTGGCCCATCATTTTTAGAAAGGACATGATGATGTGATTAAAGTCAATCCCAATGTGACAGAATGTTGTTAATTGAATTTTTATGTGACGAGAGTCTCGTAGTTTAAAATGTCTGATTTATTCATTAACTGTTATATAATTGTGCAGGTTTTTGAATGCTGGGATCTTTGGCAATGGAACAGAATCTTGTCACACACTACCACACTCAGCATCAAGAGCAGCAATGCAAGTGAGGATCAATTCCCTTCTTCAAGGCTACTCGGGCATTAGATTTGAAATCTTGGAAGCAATCACAAAGTTCCTCAACCACAACATCACTCCATGCTTGCCCCTCCATGGTACAATTTCCGCTTCAGGTGACCTTGTCCCCTTATCCTACATTGCCGGATTACTCACTGGCCGGTCCACCTCCAAGGCAGTAGGACCTGCGGGAGAAACTCTCAATCCAGAGGAATCATTTCATCGAGCTGGAATCGATGGTGGGTTCTTCGAGTTACAGCCCAAGGAAGGCCTTGCACTTGTCAATGGCACGGCTGTTGGCTCTGGCTTGGCCTCTATGGTTCTTTTTGAGGCTAATGTACTTGTTGTGTTATCTGAAGTTCTATCAGCTATTTTTGCTGAAGTAATGAATGGTAAACCCGAATTTACCAACCATCTAACACACATATTGAAGCATCACCCGGGCCAAATTGAGGCTGCAGCTATTATGGAACATATTTTAGATGGTAGCTCTTATGTTAAATCAGCTCTGAAGCTACATGACATGGACCCATTGCAGAAACCGAAACAAGATCGTTATGCTCTCCGAACATCACCCCAGTGGCTTGGGCCACAAATTGAAGTAATCCGTTCAGCAACAAAGATGATCGAGAGAGAGATAAACTCAGTGAATGATAACCCTTTGATCGATGTTTCAAGGAACAAGGCCTTACATGGTGGCAATTTTCAGGGTACCCCAATTGGTGTCTCCATGGATAATACTAGTTTGGCTATTGCATATATTGGAAAACTCATGTTTGCACAATTCTACGAGCTAGTTAATGACTTCTACAATAATGGGTTGCCTTCTAATCTCTCTAGTGGACGCAACCCGAGTTTGGACTATGGTTTCAAGGGAGCTGAGATTGCTATGGCAGCATACTGTTCCGAGCTTTAATTTCTAGCCAATCTGGTCACTAACCATGTCCAAAGCACTGAGCAACACAACCAAGATGTGAACTCCTTGGGCTTAATATCTTCATAAAAAATCGCTGAAGCTGTTGATATCTTGAAGCTCATGTCATCAACATATCTTGTGGCACTATGCCAAGCTATTGATTTGAGGCATATGGAAGAGAATTTGAAGAATACTGTCAGGAATACGGTCAGCCAAGTAGCTTAGAGAACTCTGACTATGGGTGTCAATGGGGAGCTTTACCGATCATGGATTTATGAGAAGGATTTGCTTAGAGTTGTGGATCGTGAACATGTTTTTGCTTATATTGATGATCCTTGCAGTGCTACCTGCCCGTTAATGCAAAAATTAAGGCAAGTTCTAGTTGAACACACACTGACAAATGGCGATAATGAGAAGAATGTGAGCCCTTCGATCTTCCAAAAGATTGAAGCTTTCGAGGATGAACTTAAGATCCTATTGCCAAAAGAGGTTGAGAGCACAAGAACTTTGATCGAGAGCAGAAATCCAGCAATTCCTAATCAAATTAAGGAGTTCAGGTCTTATCCATTGTACAAGTTTGTGAGAGAAGAGCTGGGGACAGGAAAACTGACTGGAGAGAAGGTCCGATCGCCGGGAGAGGAGTTTGACAAGGTGTTTACTGCAATGTGCAAGGGGCTGATCATTGATCCATTGTTGGATTGTCTCAAGAGCTGGAATGGAGCCCCTCTTCCAATATGTTAGTTTAATTTGCTACATTTTGAAACACTGTTGTACAGCCTTCATGTCTTCAATTTTTATTTTTCTGTTATTGTTTGTCTCTAGACTAAAATTAAGGTTGTAATATTATCTATGCACTCAAACACTTTCATTGTCTGTTAATTGGTGCTTCAATATTAAATTTGGTCAAACTAACAACAAAATAGTTAGATTTTTTAAAAAAGAATCGTAGAGTTTCGGCTTGATTCTAACTAAAAGAGTTACGAGGGAACGTGCACCGGCTAATTAGTACAATAAATTCTGAAACAATGACCACTACTAATAAAAAGGAAAAAGCCACGTGCTTGGAATGCCAAGCTTAATAGCTCGGATTAGTTCCAACTGGGCAGCTAACCATCTCTTGAACCCCTGCAGTTCGGAAGAGTTATGCTTCAGAAGGACTTTGACTAGTTCAACTCAACCACCACTTCTACTTAGCTAGCAAGATTGGGTAAAGCAAGTGGAATATAACAAATTCAGCTTAAATAGGCAGAGTAAGATCCGTTAATGGCCTAATCATGCGGCCTATAAGAAGCGAGGCCATAAAGGAGGCCGAGGTAAGTGAATAAAACACAAACAAAAGTTTTCTTTGATCCCTTAAAAAATCTCCAACTGACTTTACTATTGGAGGGTCAATCCCTAGAGCTTTTTCGGTCTCTAACTTGCCTCTGTAGGTGTACAAGAGGATAGGCCCAAGTCTTTATCACATCTGGAGCTCAGTGAACATTCTAAACCATCATCAATTGGCGCCGTTTGTAGGAAGCAACAAGTTTTCCAAATATAATCCATTCACTGGACTTCAAATCTGATGGCTTTCACAAGATCAAAGGATTCGATTAGGGATCAAACCTACAATAACGAGCGGTCAAAGTCACATCCAGTGGACAAGAGGACTACAACGCCTCCAAAAGAAAAGGCAACAAGGGTGGAAAAACTAGAGAAAACAATGGAGAAATTGTTTTGTCTAAACTAACAAATTCTTTAGCTTTTCACCAACAAGCATCACCCAAAGAAGGGTTTATCCTAGATCCAAGAGCATGGAGATGATAACCACAAGAACGAAGAGCAAAACCAAAATGAGGCTAACTAGCCACAAGTCAATGACCAATGGGAACAAAAGTTCCAAGAGATTAATGAAAAGTTGGTTAAAGTTTTGAACATCATGAAAGCTCGAGTCCCAAAAGTTGTAGAAGCTTTGTTACAACACAATGAGTCCCTTTTTACCTAAGATGTCTCAAATTACCCTCTCCTAGAGAGGTTTAAGATGCCAATAATGGATAGTTTTGATGGGACGAAGGACCCACTCGACCACTTGGAGACTTACCAGTCCCTAATGATGCTCCACACTGTCCCATATCAAATCATGTGTAGAGCTTACACAACTTCCCTTAAGGGAATAACAAGACATTGGTTTAATAAGCTTAAACCCAACTCAATTATCTCACTAGGAGAGCTTAGCAATCCTTTATCTCACACTTCATTTGCAGTCGAGCTCATAGGAGATGCCCCCACTTACCTCCTCAATATAAAACAAACCAAAAATGAGACAGTCAGAAACTTTGTTAGCTGATTCATCACAGAGTCACTACAAATTGACAATGTTGATGAGAAGGTAGCCTTTATAGCTTTTATAGGAGGTCTTCAACCATTCTAATTTCTTTTCTCCCCTTCCAAAGATACACCTCATAGCATGACTGAGCTCTTGTCAAGATCCCACAACCACATGAATACTGAGTATACTCTCCTTTCTCAGAGAAGCCCAGAGGACAAGCATGAGGAAAAGAAGATGCGTGACCAACCAAGCAAGGGATAAAAACCAAGCAGCCTAAAGAAGAACCGAATTGAACCGAAAGAGTAAGTGCACGAGATCGCCTGGGCCCCCCATCTCCAAACAAACAGAATCGAAGATATACACCTCTAAATACATCGGTCGAGCAGATTCTCTTTCATATCTAGGATGAAAGGGTCCTAAAGTGGTAGAGGAAGATGTGGACTCACCCAAGTAAGAGATCAAGAGATAAGTGATTAGTACTTAAATGTAGCATATTATTATGCCTTTTTAGGACTAATTGTACTTTGATGGAGTTCAAGTAAGGATATTTCAAGTTCTAAAGTGAACAAGGGCTTTGAGGGCAACAAAAGTCACGCTTGAATGTCAAACCAGCACATTAGGGAATGAAATTGAAGAGGCTTGGAACAAAGCAAGAATGTTCGAACGCCAAATCACGTTCGAACGTCCATTTGAACTATGACAAAACCAGCCTGCTGAGACAGTGTATTGCAGTCAAGCACCAGGACCCTGAGGAACTTGAGTACCACGATTGAACGCAACTAACGTTCAAATGTTCACTTGAGTTGATTGAAGGCCAGACTGATGAGACATGACGTGTTGAGCAAACAAAGAAGGAGGACTTTGAAGCACTTGAGTACCACGTTCGAACGCCATTCAACATTCGAACGTCCCTTGGAATCAATTGAAGAACAAACTTCTGCATATAGTGTGGAAATGAACTTTGACAGAAGATCACTTGAGTGGAAAAGGTCAGGCCCCATCTGGCGTTCAAACGCTTATAAAGCAAGACCCGAGAAATATTCAAACGTCAGACACCGTTCGAACGTCCCCAAAGAAAAACATAGGACAACGTTCGAACGTACATTCACGTTCAAACGTCCTCCACAGACTGCCTATAGAGTAGTTGATTTTCATGGGTGACAAATACTATTCACTCATCCTCTCTTATCTCCTATCTTCCCCCCTCCCCTTCCTTGCCTATAAATACTCCCATGTTGGGAGCTTGAGGGGGGATTCTTCCTTTTGTAGAAAAAAGGGGTGCAAAACTCCTTCTCTTGTAGAGTAGAGTAAAAAACTAGTTTTTGTACATCTCTTGTTTATGTTTTTATTTTGCATTTGTATTAACCATGATGGAGACTTAGACTCCCCTTGTAGTTGAAGTCTTTTATTTATTTATGTTAAGTCTTTACATTTATGTTGTGACAACCATAATAGAGGCTTAGACTCCTCTTGTAGTTGTACTTGCTTTTATTTACAAGTATCAAGAAACATAGCTCATCTTTTGGTTGTGGTGGAAACCCTTCGAAAGTAACTAGCTTTCTTCTACTTTTATTGTTCATGTATTTCACTTCCATTGCTTGAGCATCCTTCTCTCTTAGAAGAGTGAAACTTTTCCACTTTTCTAGAGCTTTACCAAAGCCATGAAGGGTGGAACATGATTCACTTATTCTTTATTAAAGATAAGCTCTTTCTTTAGTTTGCTTTACTTAGTAGCTCCTCTACTTGGAGGGATGAATATCACTCACTTTTTTAGCTTTGCCAAGTCATGAAAAGTGAGTAGTTCCTCATTCACTCTTTAGTAAGAGGTGATGAATATGTAAAGATTATCCAAAAATTATGTTTGTGCAACTCCTTTATGCTTTAATGCTTTATATTCCACTTGATTATTGGATGATTAAATGCATCTAGCAAAGTTGAGGTACTTTGTATAACCAAGGACTCCATCTATGATACGGATGACTCCTGCATAGAAAGACCCGTTAGTTCAAGGCAAGCACTCTGGCTAGCTCTTCATGACAACCTTTCAATCTCCATCATTATTGCTATTTATTCAAAGAATGGACCATTACTGCCATGGTTTGATGCCTTGTAGAAACACTTGCTTGTTTGTTGACGGGTTAAGTCTCGGCACAGATAATTCTTGTAAACTTCTAGAAAGACATCAGAAGCATGTGCTTAATTTTCATAGTCCATCTTTATTTTTCGATTAACTTGCTGTTGACATGGGAGATAATTGAGTCATAAAGCACAAACAAAATAAATCGGATAATCAATTACATATTCTAATCCTCGAGCTAAAGGGTGGCTGTTACATTTTAAGAATCTTATATTTTGTCTAGAACAATCTTGAAAAAAATTTTATATTCTATTCAGGAAATCCCACAACTTCAAATTCTCAAAACTTCGAGTTACTTGGTCTCTCTCACTGCTTACTTCTAAACACTAATCATAGTTCCCTATGGATTTGACTCTGGACTTCACCGGATTATTATTACAACTTGACTGCCTGCACTTAGGTGTACACATTTAGGATCAAGTCAAGTTTTTGGTACTGTTGCTGGGGAACTACAAAAGGTGTTTATAGTAAAAGGTAAAAAGACCTCACTTTTTGTGTATAAATTTGCTTTACTATGTATAAAGTTGTTTTAATTACAGGAATGTTTGAAAACACTCCTCACTATCAAAATTTGTCAGCAGAATCCTCTGGGTCTATGAATCAACCTAAACCACTTTCACCTATATCAGTAGCAGACTCTTGTAAATGTAAAATGGTGAATGGTGAGAGACGAGAAGAAATTCCTGTAAGAGAGGGGGAAGTGCCTAACATTCGAACTCTGAGGGATTACTTAAATCCCACAAGAAATAGTGTCCCCTCTTGTTTTATCTTTCTTGAAGATGCACCCTCCTTTATTATAAAGACAGGGACAGTTCAACTACTCCCTCAACTCCATGGACTGAAAACAGAAAACTCATATCTGCACATTAAAGATTTTGAGGAAGTATGTAGAACTTTTCAAGATAATTCTGAACTGGCCAAGATGAAACTTTTTCCTTTTTCCTTAAGGGATAAAGCTAAACAATGACTAAATTCTTTAAAAGCTCTTTCAATACCTAACTGACAGGCACTACAGAATGAATTTTTTAGAAAGTTTTTTCCTTTACACTGCACTAATGCACTTAAAAGACAAATCAAAAAATTTTTGGTTAAAAAGGGGAAACTTTTTAGCAAAGCTGGGAAAGATTCAAAGATCTTCTCCAATCCTGCCCGCATCATGCTTTTGAAAATTGGACTTTGGTAGGATTTTTCTATGACCTCTTGCCCAGTAGACTACGCCAGTTTGTCGAAATGATGGCTCAAGGGGAGTTTATGGAAAAAGGTCCAGAGGAGGCATTCGATTACTTTGACA